TATATTATACTTTAAGAAACCTATGGTATACGTGTTACTGTCTACCAATTCACGTAAAACTTAAACTTGTAAAGGCTCTTATCGTTCCTCAGATTTCTTACTTTGAGGTGGTATATGGTAATCTTAATTGTGAATCTAAAAATAAATTAAATTTAGCTCTAAACAATGCTGCCAGATTCTTATATTTTAAACAAAGTTTGATCATGTTTCGTTGTTATTTACATACATTGTCCTGGTTTCAGCTTGAAAAACTACCTTAATGTCCGCAATATTTTATTTTTATTTAAAATAATAAGATACCGTCAGCCTGGCTATCTTTTTCGAAAATTGAGTTTTGTTCAGTCATCTCGCACGCATAATATCATTGTTTCAAGATATAAAACATTAACAGCCTCTAGATTGTTCTTTGTTAGTGCTGTCAGACTATGGAATTCTTTACCAGTGTCAATTAATTGTATAAAATCGACTAGATGCTTCAAAACGGCAGTTACAAACCTCTTTGTGTAGTATCCTTTCTTTTCTCTTGTTTTCCTCTTCTCTAGTATATGTATTTTTTTTCCGTTATTGTTAATTTAAAGCTAAATTCTAGCCATCGTTATTTTAAGTAAATTTTTGTGATTAAATTGTCAAATATGTACATTGAAAAGACTTCATGTCTTACCGTACTATATCTTAAATAAATAAATAAATAAATAAATAAACTTTATAGCAATCTCGCAGAATAAACCAAATTATTTATTATTTACGAATAACAAGAAAAACCATTTATTCATTTGTTATTCGTCATTCGAATAAATTTTGCCCAACTCTGTTTGAAACATGATTCAATTATTAAAGGTTTTGTAAGTATGATTTATTTTGGAACGAATTTCCGTCATCCCTTGTCAAGTTTGGTTTGCAGACAAACCGGTTTCCGCATTGTGTGTCTGGTTCGAGTTTTTGTTCTTAATTTATGTTAATTTATCTTAGGTAATGTGATTTGTAAGTAGCTATTTTCTAAAATTTGACACTCCCACCGGGATGGTTTTTGGAAGCAGTAGAAAAAGAAGAAGAATTCAATCACACCTCCTAAATGGTAGCGAATTTCTACAAAAAGGCGTGGATAATGGTGCATCGTGGTGCCTTAATACAAAAACGAATTTGATTTAATTATTTAATTTAAACCAGCTTATTTACATCAAATATAACCCCTGATTGTTATTAAAAATAAATTTTGCTATGAATATACCAAAGTTGCGTACGTCAGACGGCGCATAACTCAAGAATGGATGGTCCCCTTAGAGCTATTTTTTTTATTGCTTGTCTCCCTTGTAAATTCTTTGCGGTACCATTTACATTAGATAGATATGAAGAAGCTATTTGTTTGTGGAAAAGTTATGGAGTTTTGATTAAAAAAGGCCAAATAAAAACATTTGGAGCTTACGATTCTTTCGCGATTATGGCTCGATTGCTTCGAATATGCTAATTCGAATTCTTTGATATTGCACTTTTAGTGTTCTGGGGAGATTATGCCGCCATCAGAATATTAGACATTGGCTTATACAGTTGCGATTGGCGCTTCGTGCCGGACGACGGGAAGAATAAAAAGGACACGCAGCTACTGAACGACTGAGACAGGGAACGTGATCTACATCGTCAAATGAGAAGTGCCGTAAGTGTGCAATTATATCGCGCCATTGACTAAACCGAGCTGTCGTGTTTTACGATTGGCCCCATGGACGCGGTTTGCTAATATTATATTGCGTCAAAGTCTCATTCGGAGACACCAGCAGCCGGATTCCAGCATTCGCTATCGCTAGTTTTGATCGCTAAAGGTCTCCAAAAGAATAGCAGGCGCGCTTAACAACATGCAACGTTTAGTTATATGCCCCTCATACTGCCAGATTTGCCTGATTACACTTTGCTTCTGTTACTTTTCCATATTGCGTACTTTTAGGCCCCGCGGCTGTTAATATAGAGAATTTTAGCGATGGAAATTTAGCATAGCGATTGTCAGAATTCCACCGCAGGATTGTGTTGTGTAGGTCAATACCTAAATATCTTCGTTGGCTCATTTACCAGAACCATTGCGCGCTTTAGTTTACAGGACTCGCCGAATATCGACAACGACATTTCGGCATTTAAGGGAATTTCGCCTCTTTAGCCTGCATTGAAATTCTGTAATCCACCCATTTTGTCTTGTTGTCGCCAGCGAATGAAGAACAAACATTTCTTCAAATTTAAAAAGTAAAAATTTCACTACTAAAAATTTAAAAATGTTCTCAAACCTTGAAAGAAATTTGGAAAAGGAATATCACTGTTTTTGTTTTTGGGAGTAGGGTGGGTGTCATTGATAAAATTAGAGCGAGAGAAAGTTTTTCTTACAAAACCTTTCATTATTGAATCATGATTTGAAATATCAGAAATTTTGTTTTCTTAGTTTTACATTTTCTCTAGAGTTTTTTTTTATTTTTTTTTACAATTGAAGTTTTGGATTTTTTTTATTTTAAAATATTTTGTGTTTTTTTGCCATTTTTCCGGCTTTTGGAGTGTTGCCGCGGTAATTACGTGCGTTTTATCTCTTTGTTTCTGAGTTTAACTGAAATTGGGTGTTTGCATTGAGTGAGTGTGTGTGAATGTCCGAGCAGAATAATAGCGAAGAAAGAATTGTTGGTGGCTTGGGACTATTTAGCGGGGTGTCATGGACCGCATTAGGGTGCTCGGAGCGGCGTGCATGCTTGCTTTAACCGGGCTTAGTCACTCGGGTGGTCGGGGTTCTTGCTCCTTGTACGTTACCCTAGCGATTTGCATATATAATAAATAAATTCATGCACTGAAATAGGAACGAAACCTGAAAGGAAAAATTTCATCAGAAAACTTTGCACTCACATTTTAAAACACAATATAGATAAACGAACGGACTCGGAAGTTGGCACAGTAGAAATCGTACGGACATAAGGAATCAGATAAAATGCATCAAAAACAGAAATCGCCACTGAACGATTAGTTTACCATGCCACGCACTAGCGTATACTATGCGAAAATATAGATATGCATACATGGGCGTAGCCAGAACGAAATTTAGGGGGGGGGGGGGGGGGGGGGGGGCAATAAAAAAAAAAATCTAAACCAATAACTTACTTACTAAAAAATTTTTTATT